TTCACCACACTTAAAGCAGAGAATTTACTTTATCATGACGTGTTGATTTTTAGTCGACCTGAAAAATAAACTGTAACAATACTACTAGAAGGCTCATCTTCAATCAACTGTAGTACCCCGTCTTCAGCATCTACGTCGATTCTTGGTCTTCCCATTATTACTTATACCATTTCTCTGTATCATAGACTCGAAAACTTGGTCTACATGGATATCAGTTTCGACACTCTTCAGCAGAAAATGAGCATTTCCATTGCTCAACACATAAACGAAGATGTTTGCATGTTACTGTGACGAATACGACATTTCGCGTCTAAATCTCATTGATAGAATCACGCAATAAATACGGCAAACATTTCAGTACGAGCGTTAATTTATTATCTTATACAGGGTCCGGCAATGAAGTATGGTGTTTTTGCAACGACTATTACATGCAGCACTTTCGAGCCAATGTTTTCACGATGATTGATATCTACTCGTTCCGCGATGCCATTTTAGTAGCCATGGAGCTGTGGTCTGTGGCACATCGCGTGTTTATTTACAACACTTTTATTGAAACTGGTCGTTTTGTTGTGCTCACACAGCGACGATTTCGAAACCATTTTAACGTTGGTCGGCATGGTCGCGATCCAAGACGCGATACCATTTTGAAGTGGGTGAATAGATTTCAAACAACCGGATCGTTGAGACCTGGTACTGCAAGGGGAAGAGATCGAACAGTGCGAACTCCGGAAAACATTGAAAGAGTGCAACAAGCGGTGGATACTAGCCCTCACCGTTCAGCGGTACGTCACGCTCGCGCTCTTAGAATGTCAGATCGTTCAGTTCACAGAATCTTGCATTTGGACCTCCATTACCATCCGTATAAAATTATGGTTGTGCAGAAGCTGCTCCAAAATGACTTTGTGAGACGACACAGGTTCGCAGAAAGGATGCTGGAATTGCTGCACGGCAACATCGTTTTGTTCATGAGTGACGAGGCCCATTTTCATTTATCGGGCATGGTAAACAAACAAAACTTCCGATACTGGGCACACGAAAACCCACGAGAACTGCATGAACAACCTCTGCACTCTGAGAGGGTAACTGTTTGGTGTGCCGTATCTCGAAATTGCATAATTGGCCCGTATTTTTTTCGTGAAAACGGACGAACAGTGTCAGTGAACTCAGATCGTTATTGCGCCATGTTGCGTGATTATTTTCTGCCCGAACTAAGAAGACGACGCATTGACATCAATACAGTTTGGTTCCAACAACTTGCCATACATCAAGAGCTGCAATGGGCTTTTTAAGGGAACATTTTTCTGGGCGCCTTATTTCGTTGCATGGAAATGTGGAATGGCCACCTCGGTCACCAGACCTTTCATGCTGTGACTACTTTTTATGAGGCTATTTAAAATCCAAAGTTTACATAGACAAACCGCAAACTCTTGAGGCTCTTTCGTAACTCATAACGCGCGAAATTGAAACGATTCCTCGTGCCATGCTAGGAAGGAGTATGGATGATTTTGCAATCCGTCTCCAAGAATGCATCGACAAGAATGGACGCCACCTAACTGATGTAATTTTTCGCACCTGACTATGTTATGTTACTTAAATGGCAGCATTCCACTAATGTATTAAAATAATAAATTTTGATGTATGTTTAAAAATGAAAGTTTGTAATTTTTTTCAAAAACACCATACTTCATTGCCGGACCCTGTACATGTACTATTTGTGTTATTAGGTTAGGTAATACGGCACAGCTTCCGTAACTATTTATCACTCAAAATAATGTCAACACCGCCATCCCTTACATTGATTAGAACTGGCATATATACCTACTAGGTTCATTGATAGGTTTTCTTCTCCGATACATCGTTCGGGAACATCAAAATAGTGATGGAAAAGTGGAGAGTCACCTTATCCTGTTTTTTTTTTACAAACAATAGGAAATGGTGGTGTAATTCCTCTTTCCTTCCTTTTTTAATTAATTAAAAAATTAATAAAACACAATAAATGAAATATAAGGGTCAACCAATGTAAAACAACTGTCTAGTGGCTTGCAAATTTAGGCACTAGCTTAATAAAGCGGAGAGTAGGGGGTTAAGAGCGGCAGTGACTTAGGACGGATTAAGCCACAAATCCCCGAGATGGACGGAGCTTGTTTTGCTTGACCACCCACACAAAAGAAAAGAATCTAACAGTAGTGGCGTAACCTAACTAATTATACACAGAGAGCCAAGTAAAACAAGATATTAAAAAAATCACAATATATTAACTGATCAAATAGCCTCAGTAATCGAAACAGCACTAAAGGTCAATATCGGTATAAAAGGTCAAAATCGGTATAAACAGTTGAAATTAATAACAAGATCAAGATCGGAAAATGAGCAATACCACATCCAAAATAATAAATCAAAAGCAAGAAAATAGAACGTAAAGGTAAAATAAGATAAACGAACTAATAAAGGTAATCAATACGTAATCGCGAAGATAAAAGATAGTCGAAATAGGTAAATTAAATCAAGGAATGAAAACTCAAATTTAGTAAAACATTTAGTAGTCACAAAATAGAACAAATTGTATTTCCACTTGTTGATATGTAGAGACATCAAGTTTTCCGCCAAGCTATCTGCCCATACCCAACAATTTGTCCACCATAACAGGACAGGTCGTAAGATAAGATAAGACAACGTAATTCAATAATTATACTCAACCGACCAACTCTTATCATCCTTTACATAGATGGATGAATGTGACAAGGTAAGACAACAGTAAGCAACTAATCCATCCAGTAAAAGACAAAGATAATAATATTTAGTATATTGCATAACATAAATCACCACTCAACAACAGGAACAGTTATATAGAAAAATCCAGATGCTTATCGCCGGCATTTCTATAATAATAATCCCATTCCGGGATGTAAATGGGAGGAATTCCTAATGATACGTTTTGAACTAACCCAAATGAAATTGTGCCTGAGCTTTATACTGCGGATCGATTGTCGGTAGAAACTGAACACCTCCGAGCGAAGATGAATTTCTTAAATAAAAAAATCCAATAATTAAAACTCAACATGGTAGTGATTTACTTATCTAAGCAAGGTTGTTCGGATGGTAAAGATTAGCTGATAGAAAGTGTGGACTTCTACCACCGGCCGATTTCCCGCCACGGACAAATTCTTAAGGCGCATACAGACATCGCGAGGCGTGCGCTGCGAATGGTTCGTTCCGCATGCCTCAACCTGAGGCATACGACAGTACATTTATGCATACGTCCAGAACGACACATGCTCAAGCTGAGCACGCAAACCACCACGCACGGTATTCGTCAGTAAGAAAAATGGCTCCGGCAAGGCGACAGGTACAGACTGCTATGATATTTGACGCCACGCGTCTTCCCTTTTACATTTATTGTAATAATCAGAATGTTCAGAGTTCCATAAACTCTGTCATTTTGATAAAGTTGGACAAGTTCACGCAATGAGTCAGTATCGGTCTCCCTGACGCATGTGCGTGCAACACCCGTCCGCCCACACGGAGTGCAAGGCTCCCAATGAGACGACGTTCGCTACGAGCTACGATCATATGACGCAAATGCTCACTGTGAGCATACACGTCCACACAGCCCGAGGCATGCGAGACGAACCATTCGCGACGCACGCCTCGCGATATATGGTGCCCCTTTAGGCCCAGCCCGTAGGGCCAATAGACAAGATAACATCATGAAAGAAGTAACATGTTTGAATAATCACTTCCATATAGTTTATGTTCTCCGCCAAACAAAATAAAATATGGACTGTATTTGGTGGTTTGACTATCCGCCGTTCTGATAGAACAACCAATCTCATTAAGATGTTCATCCTACGTCGTATGATTTTGCTGGCGGACGTAAGTACGTGACCTGGTGTTAATTACTCGATTATGACGCTCACTGTGATTAGAACGAGGATTGTAATTGGCAGTATAAAATATACGGGTTCTATACTTTTGGCACAACGCTTGGAATTCCCTAGATTTCATCTGAACTCCATTATCGCAAGTGAGAAACATGTGAGCCCCATAAAGAAGAAAAATACTCTCAACTAAGGATTTAGCTTTAGCCGATCGACAAGGGAATAAGTAAACTGATTTACTGAAGTAGTCTGAAATATCAAGGATATAGCAAAAACATTTCCTTGAAAGTGGTAAAGTTCCAATATAGTCAAGACTTAAAGCCTGAAATGGTTCTGTTATGTCCGGACGTTCGCCCATTAAACCGGCTGGTGACTTCTACTCTACTTTATTCTGGGTGCAACAAGTACAATGTTTTACAACACCAGCCTTTATCTTGGGCCAGTAATAAGTTTACGGAATTTTACCAACAGTTTTAAAACCACTCATATGACCAGAAGCTGGAACATCATCACATAGCTGAAGAATGATGATGATTTTTCTTTTGTCCTTTGGGACCACTAGCTTCCAATCATCCAAACAGATCCGCCTGACTTTCGCCTCCCATCTTAACAGTGTCGAACTTCATACATCCAGAACTGGCCAATACGACCGCACCGTTGTCCCTAGAATGTCGAGATTATGCCTTTCCCAGTGCTACTAACCTTAGGTAGTTCATAAATCTGATTAACAAAGTTACATTGGGATCCTCGTAGAAGCCGCGGTGCCCTGGCATTTAGGCTTCTACCTGCGCGGCTGGTTCGGTCTAAAGAAGTAAGATAATAAGAACCGTAGGACCTCTCTGAGCTAAAGAATTGGTTCTTTTTAAAAACAGCTTAAAAAAACTGCAATACAAAGATATCTGCGATATTTTGATTTGGAATTTATTCAGCTTTTATAAGGTGTACATATCCGTCACATGCCATTCAGTCAGTCAGTTGTTTGTCGTCTGATTTTTAACGGTTTTTTTTGCATTAACTTAAAGATTATTTGTTGTTTGTCAATTCTGTAGGGATTATAGGGATAAAAAAGGAGCCAAAGTTCATTCTCTTAGCGGTAGAACAACTTGATGAACAAAATATAAAATGATTTCTAACCCTGTTATTCGTAAATAAAAAAGTGAAGCGGAACATTTTTCCTTTGCACGGCCTATCGTCCAGTAACCCTTTTCACACGTTTTTTCCAAATAATTTGTTCACTTACAATTTATCCCGGCAATTAATTGAATTTTCGCCAGATTGACTGGATTATTAGTTGAATTGATTAAGATCCATTTGGTAAAATCCTACCTAATATAATGAGATTTTTGCGGTACGCTGCTTCTGATTGACTCTATTTATATGTCTGTTGCAGAGAAATGAATCCGAAGAAAAATTTAAGAAGCTTCCTCAGTATGTTGCTGCATTTGCTGGTACGTATTAACATATTTCAAGGTTCTGTTTGGTTAAATTATGGAGAATTCTGCAAAGTTCATTTTTGGCTAGTTAGCCTGATTCTGAAGAATGCAACCATTGTACAGGGTCTTTTCAAAGTTGAGTCGTTTATTTTAGCAACTTGTAGATCTCGCCAAAAGAAGTTGATATACCAAAAATCACCTATATAAAAGTTTCATAATAAGGGAGTTAGTTTAGATTATTAAAAATTATTTAACAAAAATCATTAAGTTAAATGGATACCGTTTTTCCAAATACTGTTTAAAATTGTCCCCATTCGTTCGATTGACACAAAATCTTGCTCGGCGAATCCACGACTCTTTACAGGCTTCGAAAATAAAATCCTGGTGTCCACGAATTAAATCACAAGCATTTTTAGTGCGCTGTTGAAGTTCTTCCTGAGTATTTACTGCTACATTATGATACACCAACTCTTTCGAATAGTCCCACAGAAAAAAATTGCAAGGCGTTAAATCCGTGGAGCTAGCAGGCCAAGAAATGAGTCCATTGCTCCCTATCCGTCTATTCGGAAACTCATTATTTAGATATTCATGAACTTTTCGTCTAAAATGTGGTGGAATACCATCATGTAGGAACCAAATATTCTGTCTCACATTTAGAGGAACATTATCTAATAATAGTGACAGATTGTGTCGACGAAAATCTAAATAAATTTCACCGGTCAGTCAAGGTGGAAAAAAGTAGGGTCCAATAAGCACAAAATTAAGTTCGTAAAATCTTCATTACTGCCGAACTGTTCTAAAAGCAAAATGCAACTCTTCTAGGATGATCTTGAGGTTTTAACGCTTCTACTCGTTGGTAGTGATAAGGATAATACTGTTCTTGGCGCATTTTCTTCCACACTTTACTATGAGAAACTTCAACTTGAGCTGCTATGGCTCTAGTACGCGTTGTTGGCTCGTCTTCGACCATTTACAAAATGAGGAAGACATTTCCGGTTGAGCAGGTCTTACAGCGTGTTATTTTAAATATCGTGTGTCACGAAGTCTAATAAATAAATTTACAAACATAAGTGATTTCGTAAAGGAAACCTTTCCGCGTACAACCTGCATGCTGCGGCTGCATTTTGCTTGCACCCCCGTATGTTAGTATTATGTCCACTAGTTCATTATTTTCTTAAACATGGGCCATTTTTTCGTACAAAATAATCAGGCAAATGACAGTATACGCACTATTAAAAGACTCGTACTGAAAACCATACAATAACACAAAAAGTTTACCAAATTTAGATAAACGATAAGAGTAGTAAACAAAAAACACTAAGATTTTATACGGCAGTGGTCTAGAATACAAAAAGATCTGTAATAAAATTCTTGTTTTTTTAATTTTTAATCTCTTACTATTTCTTTTTGAATGCAACTTTTATATAGGTGATTTTTGGTATATCAAGTCCTTTTGACGAGTCTTACAGGCAGTTAAAATAAATGACTCAACTTTGAAAACACCCTGTATATGCTACCCGCTGATTTAACCCTTATCTTAACAATATTTACCTAGTATAAACAAGCCTTTATGTTTCCAGCAACACTATCAGCCTTGGCAACCGGGGCCGTTCTAGCTTGGACTTCTCCCATCTTGGACGTTCTAGAAAATGACTTCATCCGAACGCACCTAACAGATGCCCAGATCGGGTGGATTGGCTCACTAGTCACTCTAGGTGGCATGGCGATGTGCGTACCGACTGGATTGATCTGCGATTTTATCGGTCGCAAGAAAACGCTTGTGCTCCTTTTCGTACCATTCACAACTGGCTGGTTTCTGATTATATTTGCCAACAGTGTCATTATGTTGTACTTAGGCCGATTCATCACTGGCTTAGCATCAGGTTCTTGCTGCATTGTTGCGCCACTGTACACTTCTGAAATAGCACACAAAAGCATGAGGGGTAGCCTGGGGACTTATTTCCAGCTTATGGTAACAATAGGGATATTTTTGACATATCTTTTTGGAAAGTATCTAAACGCTATCCATTTCACTATCGTGTGTGCTTGTATACCGGCAGTGTTTGTCTTAATTTTTGCTTTCCAACCTGAGTCGCCTACCTATTTAATAAAAAAGGGGAGGTTTGATGACGCTAAAGTAGCACTGACTCGCTTACGAGGGAAGAGCTACAATGTAGATCTGGAGTTAAACCACATTGAAGGATTTTTGAAAGAGTTGAGTCATTCTACGGGTTCCTTTTCTCAGACTATGAAACAGAAAGCTGTGGTGAAAGCATTCATCATTGCTGTCGCTTTAATGTTTTATCAACAGTTCAGTGGAATCAATCCAATTATTTTATACACAACAGAAATATTCAAATCTTCAGGTGTGAATCTGGATCCACAATCAGCTGCTATCATCATCGGTGCATTTCAAGTAGTTGCTACTTTCATTTCTTCGCTGTTGATTGATAGATCGGGTAGGAAAGTTTTGTTGATCACATCGTCTTTTTTAGTCACATTAACAACATTTTTGTTGGGTTTGTATTTTACTTTCAAGACCCGAATGCATATAGATCATAATGTTATGGAACAACTTGGAATTTTGCCTGTTGCCGCCTTGTGCATTTACATCATTGCTTATTCTGTAGGTTTGGGACCGATTCCATGGATAATTTCCAATGAAATATTTCCGCTTGAAATAAAAAGTATCGCAAGCTCAACTGCTGCTACGTTCAATTGGTTATCGGCTTTCGTGTTGTTAAAGTTTTACTTGCAACTGACTGAATTAGTTGGAAGTGACAGCACATTCTACATGTTCAGTGGCATTTCATTTACTGGAATATTATTTGTTTATTTCGTTATCCCTGAAACAAAAGGGAAAACAATTTCTGAAGTGAAGGAGGCTCTTGAAAACTACTGAACAGCTTAACATATCTGTGGTGGCTATATCGTAGAATTGAATGGTCGCATTACATGAAATGGTCAACTAGATTTGACCATAACGTTAAATCGTCAACGTTTAACGATTCGGAGATCCAGGATTGATTATATCGTAAAATAGGGTGTCCTTAGAATACTTAATAAAGATGCAGAATATGTTATGAGCTCGTTTATTTTTCTTCAGGTTCGTCAACCATTTTGAATAAAATTTGTAACTTTAGAAAATTAAGACGAGATAATTGTATTAAAACATTCTTAAATTGAACAAAACGTCTGACAAATAAAGTTTTTGATCATAACAGATATCGCAAATTAAGTTATTATATACCTTACGTGATCACCCTACTCTGATTTATTTGATGTATAACCTGAAAATAAAAATTTTATGAAATGGTCAATTTTACGATATGGCCACGGCATAACGAAGTCATGTGGAACATGAAATTATATGATCGATGTATTGCTTAGAGCTTAGGTCATCTGCATGCGGCTTATTTGATATAACTATCTGATGCAGTATTTGTCCTCAAGTAGAATGCAGTTTACCGGAAATACAACTTGCTACAAATGCAAGAAAGTTCGTTTAGGGCCGTATCGTTAGTTGTTCCTACAATTGCCTATGGCCTCCTTGGTTTTCATAGTTTTTCCAGTCCTTGAGAAAGGCGCCTTTTGTGAGGTTTTGTTGAAAATATCTATTTGCATCAAATTGTTCATGCTTTTGATTTGTATCATCTCTTTTATCAGCCTGAAATTTCCTGCAATTGAAAAAGAAAGCAGAGCCTCACAATAAGAGAGCGCTGACGCTGACACGGAACAGTAGAAATTCAGAAATATTCGAGCCTTTCTGAAGGAGAGAAAATACTATGAAAATCAAGGAGGCTATAAAGGCGTCCTACAATTATAGGAACGACTGATGATGCGGCCCTTAGAATTATAGGACATAAAATAGATGTCAAGGCTACAAGATATTACCGTATGTAATTATGGTTAGCAGTTTTAAGGTTTTATACGTTGATACAATTATAAGAGTTTAGTAAAAAATACGTTAAATATTGAAAATATATACAGTTATGAGTAAGTTCAAAAACATATACATGAAATGTAGAACACTGCATGCTTAACTTTAGCCGTTAATGATCTAATAGTGATTTGCTTTATTATATACAGTGATTTCCACAAAGGTCCCGCTCTACTTATTTTTGGGACGGGTCAAGCTAGCAAGATAAAATTTGAAATCGATGCATGAATACTATATTTTACCGCAAAACTAACAGCTGAAAATTCCATTACTCTATAAATATAAAAGCGATATCTTTCAAAATAGCGGATCGGCAGCCTGTCAAATTTCAGTATTTTTGACTTCTAATCGCCTACAGCTCAACAACCAATCATCAAAACTCTATAGTATGTTAAATCAAACTGTTTTCTACGAAGGATGTATTCTAAGATGCAATTAAACATGGAGCATACTATTCAAAAAAATTACAAAGATTTATTTCTATTTTAGACTTAGGCAGACCCTTTCGAAAGAAGAATACTGATTCAACATACTATAACGTTTTGATGATTATTTGTTCGGATATTAGCGATTCAATATACAAAATCGCTCAACTTTGACAGCCTGCTAGTTCACCGTTTTGAAAGTTGCTGAAAAGTTTATTCTAAGATTATAAATACAACCCTTTTCCATTAAACTGCAATGTGTGGACATTATATAACTGACTGATTTGTTTCTCAATATCTTTCAAACTGAGAGATGTATGAAAATGATATTATATAATGGAAGCCGCGAAAACCAGAACCCTCTGGTTTACGATTTCCATAACTTTTTGGTGGGTTTCGGAATGAATATTTTAAATAGTTTTCTGAGTTTTCCCATTAAACCACTCTATATTGCTTGGAGGGTTGGCATAAACCTTATCTTTTAGAAACTTCAACAGCATGACGTCGTAGGCCATTATTTATGGTGATCTTAGGGGCACCTCGTGTAATGGGAAATCAATCGCCCTGAACATATTCATCAAAGAACACTTCTGACAGCCATGGAGCTTTGTATCATATGGTGATAATGTTCGCGACCGACACGGGAACTACCTTCAGCGTGTCATCGGACTTTATTTTTTTGAAGACGCTGGCTACATGGAGTTTTCTTAGGGTCACTGGTGAGGGTCACCGCGATGTGGTACAAAACTTCTAAAAGTCGTTATTTAGCCTGCCAAAAATGTGATTCCAGTAGGACGGAGCATGTCACGCACCTGGAGAAACATCTATGTCTTATAAAGAAGTGATGAAAAGAGATCTCAGGTTTGCGAGGCGTCTAGAGTTGAGCATTTATGTGTTATGATTTTCCATGCATAATAATCAACTTTCAATAGCAGATAAGAAAAAATGGTCCTACTTTATTTCATTTTTAATGATTTTTGAATAGTTTTTTTGTAATCACATAATGGTGTATTTGATCTAGAGCTATCAGTCGTGTCTGTCAAAAGTACCAAGAATTGTTCTAAATTAACGCTGGATGCAATGCATTTGTCGTGACCATATTGTAAAATTGATCTTTCCATGAAACGAGTCATCTATTGGCCAGATCATGATGTGCTTCGACCAACCAAATCAATGATAAATCATTTAACGATATCATCAACTAAACGCGCAACTACTTCATGAAGTGGTCATATACAGTCTGGCGGAGAATTGGACATGTAATGGTACATGGCAAGTCTAGAGAGTTAAAAGTGAATGAATATAGGCCCTGTCCAATACATTGCTGTTCCATACTTTGAAACAATTTAAGGAAGTCTAGAGAAATGTACATCATAAAATGCTCAAACGCATAGAAAAGGTTAGGCTATATGAAACAAAAAGTTATTGTTTCAGTAACGATCAAATAGTTTTGTATGAAATATAAAATAATTTTGATCTGCTCAATTAGTAAATCGAACGATAAATTGAGAACGCATCATAGGTTAATGTCCTTCGACGCAACGCTAAACGCTGCTGGAAGGTTATTAGACATGATAATATCCACATAAGCTGGTACAAAACTATGCTAGTTATTATATAGTCAGTACAAAATAGGGGAAGGCTTTCTCTTAAATAAATAAGACTATTAGGCCGGTATTAGATGGTCATTTGCTGCGATTAAATTTTGCTTCAAATGGTCAGCGCAGCGAACGATTGTTTTCCATCGGCTGTCGGTAAAACAGAAAAGATGAAAAGGAAATCCGGTTTGCGAATGCCGGCGAACGTTGTCAGGCATTCACATGTCGCAGTGTCGAAAATAATTTGCAGTACTTCGCTACAGTTTGGGAACAGTTAATTTCGTCTTCGTTTGTGAAGCAAAAAATATGAGCGAAAATCAGTTAATAGTGGCGTGTGCCTCCTACATCATTATCAATAATTATTTATATTATAAAGCGTCGAAAAGAAAAAACGAAGAGAAAACAGAGACTTGTTTGGATGAGTAGAAGTAAATATGATGATATGAGCTTACTAGCTGATTTACGTTTTTTAACGACTTTAGTCTCGAGAAGTATAATAATAATAATGTACATGGACCTGCAACATCTAGTGTATTATTGAAATATGAATAGAGATACAACTAGTCAACAAATTATTTGATCACATTCACTATTAATTTATATACATCTGGTCTTGCCAAAGAAAAAATCCATTCTTTTAACTTTTTCTTGAATTCATTCCCAAAGCATAGATCCTTTATATCGTCAGGTAAATGTATATATATAATTTTGGACCTAAATGAAGGTATAATCGTTGCGGTATAGATTTATTTGGTCTAGGTACAACTGTTCCTCTTAGTTTATGCCTTGTGTGGTGGTTATGTTTAATTTTTTGGCCGTTATTGATGAATTTGTGATAGTTGGTTATAGCATGTAAGAGATAAAGCTGTTTTAAGTCATGTACATGTGTATCTTTGTATAAGATACAAGATTGGATACAATTTTGGTTTGTTGAACATTGTTTTTAAAATCGTTTTTTGAAAAATATCCAAATCATGAATATGAGTTCAATATGTAGCTCTCCATGCTAATATATAGTAGGTTAAATGCGGCTCCATCAAGATATGGTATAAGGTATAGAGATATTTTTCTTTTAAAATGTTTTTGATATATTTAATTTCATACGATACATATCTAACTTTGTTTTAGAGTAATTAGTGCTCAATTTTCTGTTATTAGACCACTGGATAATTTTGACTAAATCATTGTCAACCTTTTCAAATTAAACCAATTATCTCCCTTATAAAAAGACTGCTGTGTTATCTGCGAAACTTACTATTTTGCCAGCACAGTCAATTTGAAATATATCATTTAAGTATATATTAAAAAGCATTTTGATACCTAAACGGATTGCTGTCTGTTGGATAAGTAATTTTCTAGCAATGCGTACATCTTTCCGCGAAAGCCATCTCTCTCTAATGTGTCTAACAATAATTTATGGTTTACCGTGTCGAAAGCTTTTCTTAGATCAACAAAAAAACAAATACATGGAATTTTGTTATCAAGATTTTGGTGTATTTGATTAACAACGTCTAATATTGCGTCTGATGTAGACTTCCCTTCCGTAAATCTTTTATATTTAGTGAGAAAGCATTCTAGCAGATATTATTTTTTCATATATTTTTGCCATATTAGAAATCACTGATATAGGTCTGTAATTGTTAATATCTGTCCGATCTCCTGATTTATATATTGGTGTTACGATACCTTTTTTTGAAAACGGAAGGGTATATACCAGATTCAAAACATAGATTAATTATATATGTCAATGGTTCTGCTATATCCTCGCCTATAATTTTCAGATGCTCTCTTTTAGTATTATCAAATCCTGGGCTTTTGCGATTTTCATGGACATAACTGTAGTTTATATTTCACGTGGTTCTACCCTATTTTTAAAATAAATGAATTTAGCAATCTTTTTGGGACTTGTGTTGGTATGTCTTTTGGCAACTGATTTGCTAAATCTTCACCTATATTGGAAGAAAATCTTATAAATTCATTACAGATTTTTTGGGTATCCTTAATAGTAGACCAGTCTTCTGTTATCATTTTTACTATTATCTAATTTTCTTAAAAAGTGCGCACTTTTTGTCTCCCTAGTAAGCTCTATAAATTTATTTTTATATTCATTGTAACGTTCGACGTTCTCTTTTGTTGGCGCTAATTCCATTACGTTGTAAAGGCTATCCTTCTTATTTGACGATTTTATATTAGTATATTAGTAATCCAGGAACTTCCACCTCGCTGTTTGCGAATAATTTTTACTTTGTTGGTACTGATGTCTATCAATCTTTTAATCTCCTTTAAGAATATTCTCACAGCTTCATCTGCATTGCTACTAGCATATAATTGTTCCCATGTTTCCTGTCTTGTGTTGGACATTAATTTTGAATTATCAATAAATAAACTATAATTTTCTTAGCATTCGTTATTTTTTTGAGGGATAGGGGTGCATGGATCATTTTCATATGACATTAGTAAAACAATACAATAATGGCCAGTAATATCACTTTCAAAGATAACAGGGGTAAAAATAAATTTATTCGAAAGGTCTTTGATAAAACAACGATCGATACATGTATTACTGATGGCTCTTGTTGGCTGATTAATATACGATAAAAATCCGTTGTTGGATAGAATGTTTAGGTACTCGTTTGAAATTTGGTTGTCTTCTTAAATGTTTATATTAATATCACCTAAGAAAATATGATGTTTTAAATCAGTGCTATTTTGATTTTCAAGTAACGTTTCAATATTCCTTATAAATGCGCGAGGTTCTGTACACGGTATTCGATACACTGCAGTGATTTGAATTTTGTTTTGAGCTATCTGAACAAAAATGTTTAAAGCTTTAATTTCATTGGTGAAACCAAATGTATCATGACTACATAGGATAGTATCTCCTACATAAGCTGTCACTCCATCCTTTTGATTATAAGCACCACAGTGGTACAGCATATCATATCCCTGTATATTGAATAAAGAAGTATCAGGCACTTGCCACGTTTATGTAAGAACTATTATGTTAAAATCACATTGAATCCTGTTCAGAAGTATTTGTGAATAATCTATATTATGTTTTATGCTTCTTATATTTATATGGTGAATTTTCAACGTTAAATTAGAATTTTGAGTATATGATTCAAGTTCATCAATGTCTTGAGCTATATTTGTTTGGATACTTGGAACTTGGAAATCATTTATATATGTTCTTGGAAATATTTGTACGATGGACAATGTTTTTCCGAATGCAAGTGCTTAATATTAAATTTTTGTGATATCTCTCATTACTATATTTACAGTTGCAGCGTCCTAATGATTCATGCTTACATTGTTCTTCTCCATGTTTGATACCACAGGTTTCACACATTTTCTTGTTTCGGCAGTTTCTCTCCGAGTGGTTAAAGCGGAAGCATCTTCTACATTGTGAAATATTGTTGTTCTCATATGCAGTAAGACATTGCCATCCCAGCAGTATTCTTCTGTTGTTGTCCTTGAAGATATTTCTAAATGCCTTCCTCATATATTGTGCAAATATTTTTCGATGGAAAGTGTTTGACGAATTTCACTTCAATGTCGCCACTTTGAAACATGATTTTGATTTATTAAATGTTCTTCAATTTGTTTTTCATTCGGCTTCTCATTGCTTCTATAATTTACTATTTTAATTTTTGGATCAACCATTTTTAGCTCTAATATTTGATATGCAGAGCTATATGTGAACTATTAAAGGATTTTATAGGGGTGAGTAGTAGAACAACATATTTTTCAGTAGAACATTTTAGTTTATTAACATGGAAAATACTGTCAACACAGAGTAAAGGTTAATTAGAATACGTGAATAGAATGAGGCGTCTGGGACTCATACGAGTGATAAAATGCATCTGAACAAGGGCGTCCGCGTCCAAGGTCAAAGATGAGAAGTCACTTCAGAGATAAAACATTGTAATAATTGAAAAACAAAATAAACAATTGAAATTAATAAACATATTTAGCTATAAAAAATAAACTTCATCATTATTTAAAGTAACAATTATAGAATATAAAAAACACAAAAACAGTACTAAGCTAATGACCAATTTTAAAATAAACTTCCACAGTGCATGTTGTTACCGGCAACGTTAATCCTATTTTAATGGCTAAGCCAACAGCAGGTAACATAGTGTCTTTTAAACGATCACAGTATAATATTTCTTTGTATTCTTTATTGTTGCTTTGCCTGTTCTTCCACAATTCGTACCAAGTCTCCCCTTCATTAACCAAATTCTCAATCTCGTATTTCCTTCAATAACTTTGAAAATGTTCTGTAGTCATATTTTTTCATATTATTTGGATGGAGATCCAATAGTGAAAAGCTTATTTTATTTTCATCCGAAAAACGACACTTTAAGGATTAAAATGACCGAGTCTAAATACGGGATTAATATCGAACGGCAAAAATATTCATGGGAGTTCTTAAAAGGTGGATTACTTCTATGAATATGCCTTTTCGCGATTCTGGGGGGTTTAATATTAACATCCAGTTCTTTTCCTATTTCTTGAGCTCGCTGCATTGTTTCGTTCATACGTTCCATAGCATTTTCTCGATGCTGTTCAAAAATAATATTAATTTCATCTATGGGCTTTTTCATGTTCAGTAAGTCAAATTGTTTGCCTTGTAATATTTGCGGAATAGGTTCCAGCTTGGAAGAATATTTTGCCATTATTATTAAGCATACAATAAAAATAGGCTTAGATGCAGCACTCTGTAATTGATTTGCAGACTGTTTCATGGAAGTGGAATTAGCTTCCATATATAATTGCTCCAAGCTGTTAACAATCGTAAGAAAATGTTCATAGAACACTCTTATGGATTTATACTTTTCTGTGCACCTTGTTTCGCAAAGCAAAGGGACGTTGGGGACAAGACGTCTTCTAAGAGGACTTGTTCGAAAAAAATTTATGATTTCTTTAATTGTTCCGACTGTATTTTGAATCTCGCTTAACTTGTTGATATCATTAATAACAAGGTTCAATTTGTGTGAGGCACAGTGAACAAAATCTGCTTTTGGAAATGATTTTTTTATAATGGCTTGAACACCTCCTTCTATGCCTGCCATAGCTGAGCAGCCATCATAAGTTTGCTTAAATCTAAGCCAAGATCTTTTAATGCCTCAGTAATTATACTAGCAATACTATTTGCAGTAAGGTCAGTAAGAGGATGAATGAATTTTTCTCTTACACAAATTTCTTTAGTTTGACGATTTTCTTCAATAAATCTAATTCCCAGAGACAACTGCTCCCTCCCTGCAATATCTGCTGTTTCATCTGCAAGAACTGCATAGGCTGGTGCTTTTTTAATGTCATTTATGATCAAATCAATAACTTCTTTACCGCAACAAATAATTATTTCGTTTTGCGTACGCACGGAAATATATTTTGCATTTTAGGGAGCCGTTTTTAAATGATTTCCCAAAATTTTATCTCCACTTTCAATCCGAAATTGTAAGAGTTCATGGAAATTTCCAGAGAATGAATTACTTCCTCTTAATGCTAAGTCTTGCATACCACAAAGAACAACTGTTGCTACTATGGAGTAAAGTTTCTTTCTATTGGCTTCGACTAGCTCCCGATGCTTCGTATTTACCTGCTCAAATACTGTCGGCTTTGTATTTGTCACAGTATTAATAAAATTTGTAGCTCATTGCGTTGATCCACGATGCCATTTTGAACCCATATGTGCTTTCGCGCTAGCATGAAAATCTTTAAATTTCCTAAAACCCTTAGTTATAAATGCCCCTTGGAGTCCTCTCGAAATATGTGGACGAAATAATACACAAGAACGACATAACGCTCCTTTCAAAGATTTGGAATAGACGAGCCATGATGAATAGTTGTTATCATTTAGCCACTCTCGCTTGAACGGTCTAGGGAGACCTACAGATTGAGCATCTTTTTTAAGTCATAGAAGTTGTCTGGTGTCCAAGGTTCTTGCAGTAGTTTTAATTTAATGTTATTTGTTGATAAATTTCATCAATATAATTACCAAGATCATAATATTCTTCAATAAACTCTTCATTTTCAGAAGAAACGAAGTTTGCTTTAGAAGTTGAAGCTACGCTGGCAGAAAAACTTGTTGGTACATGTGTATCTTGAGCAACTTTTTGTGTTTCAAGTACAGCATCTTCTTCTTCTTTTTCAATTTTGGGTTTCTTGAAAAAATTGCGGTGTCGCTGCTCCTATAAGAATGCACAAATAAGCCGACTATTTGATGTCAAGTACATTATTAAATAGGAATACCTATATGTGCTATGTAGATCAGTACACTCCTACTTATTAGAGCTCTTTTTCGAAAATCATGAAAAAACTAAGAAATTTTTTTAACTGTTATAATAATGGATTAATATTTTGAATTATACAAGACTTCTTATTCAAAAAACCTTGTCCCCGATGTTTATCTTTTAGGCGTCCCATTATACTGAATGATGTTATACTACACTTACATACAATTAGGTAATCATAAACATTGAAGATATTGAGATATTGGTAATTTAATTTTCCAAATAATTATACTCTTTAATGGACAGAATTAAATATTATGGAATTGGTATATAGTATATATCTACTTACCTATGTGTCGGAGTCCCCATTTCACAAAAAAAAAACAATAAAAAAACCTAAATGCTAGAGGAGAAGGTGTAAATATGGAATACCATTGTTTTGTTCGCTCCTATTTTAAAAAATATGATCAGAATTATGCCAAATTTGGGGAACGGGTACTCAAAGGATGAAGACACATGAATATAAACTCAAAAGTGTAATTCTCTCAAAAAAAAAATGTTCAAAAAATAGTTTGAAAAAAAAGTCGAAAATCATCACCTGAGAAAAGGTGGTGCAAGTATGGAATACCTTAACTAAGCGAGAATATAATGCATATTTTTACAGTTTACTTGCACCAATCGCAAATATATTCGTCTTTTTCGGCCCCAGCACACTCGTTATGTGCCCACTTTGAGCACATCAAACATTGCACCCATAATTCTCCTCTCTGATCAGCAGAAAACGCAGCCTGACAAAACATGCATGAAGCATCGTCCTCATTGGGTTTTGGGTTTTGTATGCCCTCGCATACTCTCTAAATCACTGTCAGAGTCATCAAGTGTTACAACTTCGGAACTTTCAGTTTCATCAGAAGAAACTTCGTTCTTTGGACGTTTTAATGTGGTCTGGATTTTAGGTTTTACGATCTTTGGTTTTGGTTTTTTAGGATTTCTTTTTGGTTTTAAAGATTTTCCTGAGGACAAGTTTCTTTTAATGCCACAAACTTTTGCCTCTTTTTCAGTTTTCTTATTTATTGACTCATTTAGTTCATCTTTGTATGGTGACGAGGTAATCACAGCCGAACCCATTACCTTACGTCCTCTGTTAGTTTTTTTGCGGATTGTGTTTGGAACTGGAGATATGTCAAACGGTGAAACGAATTCCTTTGTTATAGTGTCGTCAGCTTTTGAGTCAGAGCTTTGCTCTTTTTCTTGGTCAATCGTCTGAGTTCTGATTGGCACATTATCTTCGCATGAGGTTTTAGAGCGTGAAGGTTGATCGATATCGATAGGCGCGACCCAATCTTTAGAGCAGGATGGTTTGTTAACGTCAACAGAAGCAATGGTTTTAAGGTTTTCAATGCCAACGGTAATTCCTCTTTTTGCTGCTTCTTGTTCTGCAGCAATATAGTCAGCATTAGTAAAAACGTTTCTGTTAAAAGGGCAGATTCCAGTGACGCGAAAACCATTTTCCGCTACTGAGTAAGTCTGAACTTTTTCATAAGCTCTATCAAACAACTCCATAATGTCAAAAGGGCTCAGAGCCCGTTGGTTTTGGCGGATCCAGATACGAATCTCTTCACTGTAATAGACTTTCAATGGGCCCATCAATGACTTATCCAACGGTTGGAGTTTGTGTGTAGAGTGAGGAGGTAGACGCAAAATAGTGACAAAATTTTCTCTTGCAAGATCAATAATTTCAATATTGCGCGTGTGGCTGTAATGACCGTCAAGAATTAGCAGGATAGGGTTCTCTTTAGTTGGTTTAACGTATTGGATAAAGTGACGAAACCACTGGGTGAAAATATGGCATTGTACCCAACCGGATGGATGTGCAACTCCTATGGACCCAGGAGGAGCTCCTTTCATTAGCTGCATGTTCATATTTTTTCTAGGAAAAATAACTAAAGGAGGGACAAAGTTTCCAGCAGCATTCATACAAGAAATGACTGTAATCAAAGCCCCTCGCTCTGCAGATGTTAATGAAGCAATTTGGCGTTTCCCTTTAAGTCCTACTACTTTTGATACTCTACTTTGGACAATCGTTAGGTCTGTTTCGTCTACGTTATACACGTTGTGTGGCGAGTAGACGGGAGGTCAAAAAAGCCATCCACCCTTTCCTTACAGAATCCTGCAGCTCTTGCGAAAGACGTACCCGTTGGCTTCCTTATTGACAATTCTGGATGCCGCTTCAAGAACAAATCAATCCACGCTCTGCCTGCAGCTCCTGATGGAGAAAATGGATGTTTAATTTTATTTCTTGCTGCCAACTGATAAGCCATGCGCCTCACGTCTTGGGATGTAAGGCCATAAAATTTGGACTCCATAGCTAAGATATAATCCACTAGTTCCTTCTCTAGCTTTGAACCCAGAATACATTTTCTTCCCAGCTTTGTTACTGCAGCACTCTCTGGAGTAACTGTGCCATCTCTACTAAGTCGAAAAAGCGTTGTTCGTGGAACGTTAAAGGATCTGGCTGCCTTGAGATATCCCATTGTTTTTTCTCTAACTGCCTTGATAGCTCTAGCCATGTCTTGTTCATTGTATTGCTTCCGTTTTTTAGGACTGGAAGGTCGACGATCTGTACGTCGAGGCATCCTAAAAAAATAATAAACTTGAAAATACATTGAAAAAAAAGTTGTGTAAATATGGAATACCAGTATTATTACCAACACTATACGTTTTCAATATTTGAGGTTATATCTAATCTATCAAAACAAAAACTTCAACAAATACAACGGCATCTTAAACTTTAGTTCATGTAGACTGTCAACGTACAAAATATTTAAATAAAATCATGTAATAAAAAAAACTACGCTTAAATAATGACTTACTTGAATAAAGTTCGAGGGTGCGTAAAACACAGGTGCACGTGTAACAAACAAAAACAAACTGAAATCTGCGCCCTGCAGTGTTCGGGTAATAAAGGATGATAAAATTCGAAAGTTAAACCGTATTTTGATAGAGGGCAGCACTTGGTTTTTTCAAAACCTTGGTATTCCATATTTAGACCATATTCCATATTGACACCGTCTCCTCTACTATTTCCTAATTTCGTAGTAAAAGTAAAAGGCATTGGTAGAGTGGCGAGATACGCTTATATCTAGATATCGGCTCACCGACCACCACGATCTGTCGTTAGCACGGCTCTAAATCTGTTCTTTGGTCGGTTAGCAGCGGCGACGGCGCGTGGTTGCTATAGAGACCAGCAGCAACGACGCCAGCGCAATGGTTGCAATTAGAGATGATCAAAGTTTCGATTTTGTGATCGCAGTTAAAACTGCGATTTACCACTCACTGCGAGTGCAACCTGTGATTGCGATTTGAAATTGTGGGACTGTGTTATTTCATAATTTCCCTTCTATAAAAGGTTAATTACATTAAATTGTTCATATTTAACTGTTATATGTTAACAACTGTTATCACAAAAAATGAAATAACATTGTATTTGTGTTATAAAGGTTAGGAGAAATGATAATACAGTAAACTTCCGATTATCCGGAATAATGTGGACCGGGTTATTTCCGGATAACCGAAATTTCCGGATAATCGAGAGTCGGATGCCGTCACGCAATGTGATCTTCATAATTTATTTTAACTCTAGTTAATACATCTGCATTTATTTATTTTTTAATATACATACATAAATACATTGTATACATACTACATATTTATTCAATTATGTAAAACTTTGCGTAAATGAATCTAAATTCGTTTGAACTAGTTTTGACCTTCTTGCATTTGCTGCAAAATCACGCCATCTTCTTAAAAGAGCCACATCGCTTGGAGTTGCTTCTTTCTGCTGCTCTACATACCTAAGAAATAATTAGTTAGTATGTACATACTATGTCTGTACATATTTATGAAACAGATTTTTTATGATACAAACCTTATAGCTATCTCCAGAGCATCTTTGCCTTCAGTGTGAGAAATACTGGGAGATTCATCCACATTTTCTTCCTCATTTAGTTCCTCTTCATTGTTACGAGTTACAAGAGATATTATCTCATTATTTGTAAGCTCCATCTGCTCATCGCCTTCCAGCCAGTCGGTAAAATTGCCCTTGTCTACGTCTTCGTAATCACTAAGCTGTTTGGTCATTTGAAAAAGTTCTTCAACTTCAGCACTATCTTCTTCAGCCATCGTGCTCTCTTTTTCTTGTGGTCTCAACAGGTTTGACCATGATTTTTCCAATGTCTCCATTTTAACTTTGTTCCACGCATCTGATACCCAGTATACAACATCTTTAAGGTCAATTTGCTTTAAGCAATCCAGCAAGCTGCAATCAGTTTCATGTATTTTTTCCAATATGGATTGCAATAAAAGTTTTCGATAATGTCTCTTTAAGGGTTTCTAGCACACCTTGATCCATAGGTTGGATTAGGGAAGTCATATTTGGAGGAAGGAACATAGCCTTTATTTCACCACTTACCAGATCACTTTCTTTCGGGTGAGATGGTGCGTTATCTATTAACAAAAGAGCTTTTCTTGGGTACCCAGATTTCTTCAAAAATGTCTCTACTTTAGGTACGAATTCTTCAAAGAACCAATTTTGAAATAAGTTAGAATCCATCCACGCACTTTTTTGATGTCGATAATACACCGGTAAGGTGCTAGAAGCCCTTGGTTTGGCAGACTTACCAATACACATAATGGGTAGTTTGTGTCTACCAGAGGAATTGAAGCAAGCGAGAAGTGTAATTCGTTCCTTCGATTTCTTGTACCCCGGTGCTCCTGCTTCAGTTTTTGATGCCAGAGTTTTAGATGGCATCATTTTAAAATTAAGGCCTATTTCATCACAGTTATACAATTGATCCAACGTGTACTTTTCTGATTCTATAACGGCGTTGATTTGTTTTATAAAATCTTGTACTGCTGCTATATTTGCTGAGAGTTTTTCACCACAGATTCGCAATTCGGGTACTCCGTGCCGCTTCTTCCACCTAGTAAGCCAACCATCGCTAGCTGTAAAATCAAGAGGTTATTCAGTCACTGGTAGAGCCTCGCTTAGTGCCTTTTCTTGCAAAATAGGTCCGGATACGGGAACCCCACGTTCCCGCTGTTGATTAAACCATAAATATAAACTCTGGTCTATTTTTTCGTGCTTTGCTGTTTTCATCGTTTTACGTTCTTTAGTTGGCGCTGCTAGAACACTACACCATTTTCTAATTTTGTTGCGATTTTTTTCCAGTCACCGACCGTGCTCACACCGACATCGTATTTTTGTGCAACTGTTTTTAATGATGCGCCACTGTCCAACATTTTTATCGCATTCAGTTTGTCTTCTAATGATATAACCACTTTCTTCCGTTTTGCAACACTCATTTTAATACATATGATAACGACTCAGTAACTACATTCAACATAAATATGCACACAGCCTATGAAGAACAAATATGTTAGTGCTAAACGCAGAACAACTTGTCAATAACCATCTAATAGCTATACGGACAAACATTACACTGTGATCTTCACACGAAGTCTGCCAGTGGCGATTTCAATCCGATGATACCCGAACCCGAATTCATTTCGTCGTTCGTCATTCCGAATAATCGGGAGGTCACGTAGGCATTGTTCTGGATAAAACGGCGCATTTAAAAACCGAATTTGTTCCGGATAAAGCGGCATTCCGGTTAATCGAGATCGGATAATAGGAAGTTTACTGTACCTTTTTTTTAAATCTTATAATTCCAAATTTGTAGATTTTATTAAAAATGAAAACAAATGTCTCTTATAATTATAATTTTAATTAGAAGAATGCAAAAACTAAACCCAACAGGTAATATGTTAAACTGCAAACATTTCATTTCAAGAACTTAACAAGGTTGGTTTATTTGACTTACTACCTATGTTTATAAGATATAGTTCTGAAAAACAAAAACAATAAATTCTTTTAAATAAAAAAACTAAAACCAAATCAACACAGGAAATATAGGAACCGTTTGTTTTTCCAGACTTACAAAATTTGATTTATCTCACTTATTAACTTTAATAATAAACATATTCCTGAAAAACAAATATATATTTCTGAAAAACAAAACAAAATATTTCTGCTGAAATAAGAACAAACTTAACTCAAATCTTTTCAGGTACATAGTAAAAGGAACCACGTAAATCTATAAATTAAAATGTTTGATATTTAAAATAGGTAACTCAAATTAAAATTGTCACTTATCATTATGGTGCACCTGTTTTACGTTGGTATTTAAAAATAAAAGCATTTTGACTTTTTCGTTATCTAGACAATTTCGTCTATCTGTCAATATTTGCCCTGCCTTAGAAAATAGTCTTTTACAGGGAACGGACGTTACGCATACACTAAGTCTCTCCTGGGCAACACAAGCAAGGTGCGGAAACAAATATTTATTTTCGTTCCACCATTTCAGTGCATCTTCATTACGAGGCAATAGTTCACAATCTAAAAACCATTGAACTTCTAATACAGCCTTAGTTGTAGGAGTTCCTACAGTGGCTGGTTGATATCGTTCAGCTTCTTTATCAAAATCCTCCCAAAAATCGTCTTCGTCGGAATTTTCATTTTTCTGATTTGATGCATTTGGAACACTCTTGTCAACACTGCAAGCCGATTCGGCCGAAAACTTTTCAGCCACCAAGGAAATAATATTTTTTTTGCTATTTCAGCATTTTTTTGTCCTTAAAGGGTATTTCTTTGAAACGCGGGTCGAGGAAAGTTGCTAATGAGAGTGTATTGCTGTTTTCAGAATTTCTTAGTCTGTCGTACAAATATTTTTTTAAATTATGAAGTACTCGTTTGATACATTCAGTATATTGCATGCCTTCAAATTTTTTAAAAGCTGAATTTAGACCATTCACAAGGGGAATTACGAGAGATGCAGTTAAGTATTCTTCCCCAGAAATCTTTTTGGTAACACTCTCGAACGGTTTAAGCACTTGTGTTAGTTGCTTAATAATTACCCACTCCTCGACTCTCAAGTGATGTTTCAAATCCGTATTAATTATTGACACAGTAGCTTTAACAGCTTCCTCCAAAATAATTAATCTTTCCAACATGTAGTACGTAGAATTCCACCGAGTGGATACGTCTTGCAGTAGTTTTAGAGGGGTTTGCTTTCCTTGATTCTGTTGGTATGATATTAATTTTGCCGTTGCTATGTGACTCCGTTTGAAAGGTCCTACAATATCGTCGGTCTCCGCACGTACCGGCGTAACTAACATTTTACAAATTTTACAGGAGAGCTAGAAAACGAAAATCAGCAATAAATGAGATTGAAAATGACATACTGATTTTTTAGTCTGAACGTTGCGTTTTTTTTTTGTTAGACTAAAATGATAGAACCAGTTTTAGCGCAGAGGCGTAAATCTATTTAAGCCGGTACGTGAAAATTGTTTTCGGACCCAAGAGCCAGATAACTGGGACTTATTAGCAAAAATAGTGATTTTGGGTTCTAATGGACCTAGTAAGGCACAAACGAAGCAAATTTTTTGAAACAAAAATAGATTTTTGGTTTTATGCCAGGTATCATCTATGATACCTTGGATCTCCATCTACACAAAAAATATATTAAAGAAATGATAAGTTAAAAAAGTAAATTTATTAATTCAATGTTACAAAGCAAATTTATATCATAGAACTGCAAATTTACTTATGAAATAGTAAAAAACAATTTCTATTTACACTGCAGCATAGAAAAACATTACAAGCGGTACACCTGGTAAAAGTTAACATCTTGCATCCTGCTAAACGACATTTTGACCTGCTTTTTTGCTTATCATTCATAAATTCAGGCAAATGTAATGCGCTTTCTCGTCTAAATCCTCTTGCAGGTAGTGCTTCAACTAGCCTAGGCTTTTTAATTTCAACAGCTTCTTCATCTTCTGATGTTTCATTTTCTTTATCTTCCAAATTGTAAAGAAGTGCTTGTGCAATAGCAAATTTAAAATCCATGTAATCCATGATCTGTTTTTTCTCAAGACGTGCTAAAGGGGCATCTTCACGATATTCCAACCAAGAAGCAGCAGCAGCAAAATCAAAAAAATGATAAATGAAACGTATTGTCCATTTTTTTGTCCTTGACCTCATACAATATTTTCCGATGACCCGATCAAGTAAGTCAACTCCACCCATGAATGCGTTATATTCCTTAATAACGTTTGGCTGTGGAATCTGTATGTATTTATTGTCAGATTTTGACCACCTTTTGCATTCTCCTAGAGGCTCAGAACCACACTTAGATGACGCCATTTGCACTGGCCTAGAGTCAAACCATTTTACTAGGACCATCTTCTCGTCTTGTCTTACTAATTGATCCGATGAGCCCCTGCCTCGTTTCTTTAGAATGCTGTCCGATTCGAATTTCGCCTCTTTAGGAACTCTATTAGACATTAGAGTACCAGTTACAGTCAAGGATCTTGATAACATACAATCTACCAAAGGTATAGATGTAAAAAACCTATCCGTAAAAACTGAAACTCCCTTTAGTAGTGTATCGGCCAGTTTTAAAACATATCTCCCTCCGACGTTAAGCTTTTCTGGCGTGTCTACAAGTATGGAATCTACTGAAGTACCCTTCCCTTCGTACATTAAAATATCTAAAGGTGTGGTGTTGTCATAACAAAAGCTTTGAGGCCTACCGGATTTGGCTTACCTCTTACGAATTGTCTCATTTTAACTTGTCCATGAAAAGGTATCATCTGTTCGTCTATTGACACATTTTCTGTTCTGATATTTGAACGACAACCTCGTTGAATTTTCTCTAGCATAGGCTTTACCTTCCAAAACCTATCTAGATCCCTTGCTTCTTTACTGACCATGTCATCATCAACAAGCTTCAGGCGCGATCTCAGAACGAAGAACCTATTCCGAGACATTTTTTCAGAAATTATGGGTACTCTAGTTTGTACACCCCAGTACATTTTAATGCGTGGTAGATTGTAGATGCCCATCAGCATAGAACATCCAAAAAACCTTTTGATCTCTGCAGAAGAAGTTCCTAAAGATTTTCCGGTAGTTTTCACTTCTCTAATATTGCTGAAATGTGCAATATTTTCAAAAAAATCGTCGTCAAGATATTTGCAAAAATATTGCATTGGTTCTTTGACGCTTCTGTTTATTTCTTCTTGAACAAACTCTCTCACTACTGATGGATAAAATTCTTCTTTATGTCTATACCTACAACGATCACTAATTCTCTTTACAATGTTTATCAAGGGTTCTTCATCGGAAGTATCGAAATTGTCATCCTGTGGTGTTACGTCAGGCTGTTGAAAAAACTCCTCCTGCTCCTCACCCGATTCGCCGATATCAATGTTATCATCTATATCCGAGTCATTCAAATCCATATTGTCTGCTAATTCCTGCAGTTCGGCAGCAGTAAGGGGCCCTAAAAATGGTATTCAATAAATACAAAATAAATAAATTTATTTTGTGTTATTAGCTTATTTTGTAACTATTAAGACTCAAGGTATCACCTACGATACCTAACCTAAAATACGCGCTGCAAATGTTATTTACATTTTATTTTAAATTCAGAATATGATAAATAATTCACTCACATATTTTTGTCATCTACAACGGAAAAATAATAATTTTAATTGATCTACTTACTTGTGTTTTCGTTAAACGCCATTCTGGTACACAAAGCACGTGCTACTGCGACATTCACTTGCTCGCTTTACAAAGCAAATAACCAGAATTCAAGTTACAGCCTGCAAACTGGACTCGCGCGAGTGTATCGTATATGATACGCTCGGAACTGATCGCGACTTAAAACTATTTGGATAAATATGCAGCAAATAACTGAGGTATCACCAGTGATACCCAGGAACCGAGGAGGTTATAACTTAGGCAATTTTCTGAAAATTTTAATTCTTAACAGCGAACTGATATACCGCTACGTCACTTCGTGAAGTAAGAGACTACAAAAAAATCTGTGAAATTACGGGGTAACTAGATTTTAGATTATTTGTCATTTACGCCAGTACGTGCGGAGACCGACGATATGTTTCACTCGTTCGATAACTGCGCTGATCTGATCTTCATTCAACCCATCATTTACCACCAAATTAATCGTATGCGCAAAGCAACCGTACTGTTTCCACCGTAATTCATTTAAGGCAGCTTTTATATTTGCCGCATTGTCTGAAACTACTATCAAAAGCTTATTTTAGATTTCCCATTCTGTAACAACTCTTCTTAGCTCTTCTGCTAGATTAGTTGCTGTGTGTTGAACAGCCAAAGTGAAACATTCTAGTAAAAGTGAAACCATCTGGAAATTATCATTTAGGAAATGAGCGGTCACAGTCATAAAACTCTCCGTATTAATGGATGTCCAACAATCAGTTGTAATACAAACTTTTTTTGCCTAGTAATTTATCATCAATTTTTTGTTTACATTCAGGAGTTACTCTTTTTGGAATATGAAGATTCATATCTGTTTGAAAATGTTTAGTTTTCCGCGCTGTTTCGATTTTTCTTAAACTCACAGAATTCAGTGGCATTTTATCAACACTAATCTCTTCTATCTCCGTTTCTCTTGGATCTCCCACTTGCTTGATTGGTTATCCTGAACTTGTTGATGCCCCTGACTGTATACTTGTCACAGGTGGGGCTTGCCTTGATAAAGTGACCTACAATCATATTAAATTACACTATTTGTGTCTTCATTACTAAGATTTATATGTATAAGACGGATATAATATTATGTTTAAATTTTTGGTACATATAGTAGGAGAGCTGGTAGACATTTTGGCAACGTATTTGAGGCACTATGAAAACTTGTCTACTGCATCTTACGTAAAAAAGTAATAGGAACCATTTTTGTTTAGAACTACCGTACGATCAACACTTTACGAGATAATTCCCCATTACCTGGAGTACAAGTTAAATATTCTCGATCACCTGGCAGGTAAGACGTCGCACCAGAATGAACTTATTTTAAATATATTATTTTTTAATCATAAATATTAGTTTATGAAAATCTCAAAATGCCTCAAATATGTTTTTTCGATTTTTTTTTGAAAAATAACTTTTATAACCCATGGGACGCCAATGGCCCAGTGACCTTCAGAAAGTTCTGTACTTTTGTATTAGGAAATAATAGAAGAAGCACAAGCAGTAGACAAGTTTTCATAGTGCCTCAAATACGTTACCAAAATGTCTACCAGCTCTTGGACTAATACGTTAAAATACTTACCGAGGCACCTTCGGGATTTAATGACACAGCTAGGTGTTTTGACTCCATGTTTCAAATAACTTATTTTCCTCTTTTTAAACATTGTTTAAACTGAATAAAATAATACTGGCTAGTCAGACAAAAAAACAACCTAGAGATTGAAAATAGAAACCACCAATACCAATCCTAACAATTCGCATTCGCAGCTCGCAACAGTCACAACTCACAACCATATAAAAGCAACGCCATCCGCTCGTTTTTAACCGCCAATCGCCACTCGCATGTGTCACTCCCAAAGGGATGGCCGCGATTGTTCGGTTGGTTGCATGCCTACCGGCTCACGCGAACCCACCAGCTAGCAACTCGGAGTTTGCTACGGAACGGGCTCGCAGGTTGCGATTGCGATTGTATAATCGCTGCGAGTAAATCGCAGTTCGCGAGTTTTTGCTCATCTCTAGTTGCAATGAGATCATATGCGGGACATTGATATTTGTCGCTAAATATCAACCCGCACACAGTGGAAGGTCGGAAATTGTTGACATAAATAATACTGTAACTGTTGGATTGACTCAATTGAACTAATCGCATCGCGAAATTATAAATACAATAATGATGATAATAGATTGCCTTTATTAGACTCTTTTACAATTTACATAATAAAAGAGGAAATAAAATGCAACAGAAAAGTATTTATTTAGATTATATATTATAAAAGTATTAATTTTTATCGTTTTCCATAACCGCCCACCCTTGCCCCCCTTGTGGACGCCTGTGGATCTGACTCAACATCCATATTAGATGAAGCTGGTATGTACGAAAGAGTTGAAGACAGCTGAGACACGTAAGAATGAGGTGTAGGTGGTTGAGACGCATTTGAATTAGGTGTAAGTAGTTGACACACGTATGAATTTGGTGTAGGTGGCTGGGACCTGACAGACGTATGTAACTGAGATCCATGAGAACCAGATGTATGGGGCTGAGAATTAAAAACTGGATTATTGAAGCTTGATAGAACAGCTAGCTGAGTTTTAGAACAGTAAGATCTGTCATATTGCTCTAGGTCGACAGCAAACAAAATCTGAATCTCAAACTGTAAATGCTTGACTGTTATTGATCTGTATTCCCGAAATTTTTCCGCTAGGTATATGCAGTGCAAAAGTGGCATGTTTGTCATGATGAATGGTTAACCCTTGTGACTGCGGCATCGACGATGGTCCAGTTGCTGCTTTTTCTAGTAACTCAATAGCTCTATCAAGTTGCTCACTGTCTTTCGCTTTCTCGGATGGTTTTATTCTTGATCTACCGCTTCTCGAATGTATACGAACCGCCGTTGGGATGGATCTTTCTGAAACAATTTTCTGTGCATCGCGACTTTCATCAGTTGCTAAGCCACCAGTTGCAGCATCTCCTATATTATTTGCTTCATATTATGATCTCTGAGGTCATCCTTTTCATTATCTGCGATTGTCTGACCTGACTCATAATCTCCTTCATAATCCAATATTAGTACTTTCGTCAACTTCAGCATCTCTTACCAAATCGCTGTTATCTTCCATGTTTTGATGAATCTGTTAAAAATAAATATTGGATTACTGATTATAAATAGACACCCCCTTAGGTTTGTTATTTTTAATGATTCACCAAATTGTAGGAAATAATCTAATATACAAGGTGTTTTTAAATCACTTGTTAAAACTTCAATATATTTCAATTTTCTTTACAGCTACCCGACGGTGCCGAAAAGTGAATGATAGTATCTAAAGAATACGAAGATAAGTGGAATTTTCCTAACTGTGTGGGTTCGATGGACGAAAAGCATATATAATAGGTTTCTTCGGGTTTTTATCATTACTGTTCTAGAACTATGAGGAGCATGCGCAGAAGAAACCGACGTGTTCGGGTTTCTGTTGGATTACCACCGGACCGTTATAGAACTGGAATTTAGTGTTCGAGTTATATCCTGGTTCAGTTCTACGATGGTTCGACAATCGTTCAAGTAGTTCTTGCTTTCCTGTCGGGACCATTTTTGAACTGATTTTTCCCGCATGCGTATTTCTTGTACCAATGTCGATAAAATTGTTTGACATGTTTAGCTTTAAATTCTGTTTACTTTTTTGCGGGTTGGGGAGTGTTTCTTATATAAAATTAAAGGAGAAGTGGACAAACGGATTCAATACAGATAGTTTTTGATTCTGATTGGTCATCATCATCGTCGTCTGACAGTGATGATGATCTTGAAGCAGTTAATAACAACTTATTGCGGTTATATTTACTGACAAATGTTCTCTTCGCACAGTTATCTTCTTTGTTGCCGTAGTCCCGAGTTCAGGCTGTTCGGGTTTTGGTAAAATTCTGATAGTTCACGGACTGTTCATAACCGCTCCAGAGATCTTCCCCTTTACGCATTCAGTCTTACGCAGTTCCAGAACCGTTCTGTAACAGGAATTTAGAACTCGAAAATAGCTAATGATACAGTCGCCATTCAACAGTGGCAGAGAGTATGATAATTACAAATCCTTTATCAGCGTAGTTTTATTTGCATTGGTAGATGCTGATTACAAGTTTTTCTACGTAGATTGTGGATATCAAGGGCGAATTTTCGATGGAGGAGTATTTATAAAATCCAAACTATATAATCTGATTGAGAAAAAACGTCTAAATTTACTTGCTCCAAGATCTCTACAAGAAGGACATTCTGAAGTACCATATATGTGTTTCTTGCCTATGAATCTTTCGCCTTACTGAACAATATTATGAAACCCTACGCAGGAATTGCTCCTAAAGGTTCACGAGAAAGAATATACCATAATTACCGTTTAAGCAGAGCACGTAGAGTTATCGAAAATGTTTTTGGCATCTCGTGTCTTCGGTGTTCCGAATATTGGACTGCCTATGCTGCTACAACCCGATCAATTCACGTTTATTATAATGACAATTACATATATTACATATCTGTACATTTTTTTACGCAAAAGTAAGACATCACGAGAGGTATATACTCCCGCCAGATCTTTTGACACTGAAATTGATGGAATTTTGTTGGACAGTAGTTGGAGGCAAGACGGTCTTAAAAACAGACCACACAAATCAAAGAATACTGCACGTGATAGCCGTGATATTTTCAAAATAATCCGCTGCCCTGGCAAGATAACTATTAACAACTGAGAGAAAGCTGATAATGTACTTACGGTATCTACTGTTCTTCTTGGTCTATCACGATCAATCAAGAAAAGCATGTATTTCATAGCAAACCATTTCGAACCGTACACTTCTTTTCGACCTACAACATTATTTGTAATTAATTTAGGTTTATTAAATTAGAAATATCGTTAAAAAAATGTTAGACATAAAAAGAATGTTCGGATCTGTTTTGACTATGTCACATTATTTGCTGGAGTAGGTACCATATCAGAATTAATGTCAATTTATTTGTATTCAGAAATTAACTACGTAACAATTAAAACACAATAAACATTGAAACTTGCCTTTTCGTGTTCCTACACTTTTGAGCCTTTGCTTTACTGTGCCCTAAATGACGCCATAAAACTCTTCATTTTATCAGTCAAATCATCTTTCTTTTTAACGGCTGAATAATAAAATGCATAGCTTGTGTTCCATAGGACTAGATGTTTGCGGTATAATTCAAGGAGCTTTATGCATTGGCTGTTGCTCCAATCATTCTTAAAATTATAATAATGAACTATTTCTCGACATATGATATTTGATAAAACAATTATCTTTGTGTTTGCCATAACGTATTAGTATTAATATCAAATTTATTCAAAAATAGTAAATAAACACGGTGGTACCAGATGCTCACACCATTAAATAACCTTCTTCGCGAATGAGTGGAAGGCTAGAAATGTTTTTGGCAAATGGAAATGAACAGGGAACACGTAAAATGTGTCAGTTTACAAGCAACGTTGCATCGAATGTCCACAAACGAGCAGGAGTGATGACAATAACAGCGAATGTGAACGAATTAAAACGTTTCTCAGATATATCCCCGGTTTTAAATAACATTTGGCAGAGCAATCAGCTACACAACCTCAAATATATTCTATATGCAGGAGCTATGACACTGAAGCTGATTCGTGTTTAAATTACGTTTCTTTTTGAGTAATGTTTAATTATTGTTGTTTTTTGAAATGAACTTGAATTGTGAATTAAGAACAATGCAGTGACACTCTTGTTTGGATTGTTTATTTTCCTTAAATAATATGTTTGCGTCTTTCGTATTTTTCTATTTATGTCGAGTTTATAAAGTTACTTAATCTAACGATGGCAGCTTTCCTCAAAGACATTATAGCATTCGGTCAAGAGCATCAGCTGCTTCATTTTTTTTATTCAACGCCATATTGCTATATGTCGTGTATGCTGGATCTGCTAAGATCCTATTCTTCGCACTTCTCGAGCCTCTACAAGATTTAGAACGGGGATGGCGTATCGTATATGGAAGATACGGTTTACAAACGAAAACTTGTTTTATATTATCTTTTCTGCTAGCTTTTAGTGTTTCTTTTGACGCTTATCAAATAATTTTGTGAATCCATCCTTTTTTCTTTGTTTTTTATAAAAAGTGTTTTCATATCATTAAATTGTCCATCAGAATGATAACTTGATATTTAAAGGCGAGATTGATTGTCTTACGCACTTTTCTCCAAATATTTCTCACAAGAATGATTATAAAAGAGAGCACGCTCACCTTTTATTAGCTGTTCTACTCACTCACTTGCAAGGTGTGATCTCTTGGTAGCTTGATTGGAAACGTGCTATTCAATACTTACTCTTGCATATAGGTATATGGACAGTTTCCATTTCACCATACTGCCCAGCTTAATGGAAATGTCGCATTTGCAGAAACGATCATCTGGTAAATATGCCATAAACATAAACCGAAATATATGGTGCATTCCTTGTTTTAGACTACTTTTGATAATTCGTTGTAAAATAAGTATTATTATGGACTAATTTCTAAAACCTAACGTACAAAATTGTTGGTTACAAGTTACGACATTCCTATTAAGCCCGGCAGCATAGTATTTTGAAAATAAAAATATAAAGTATTCTCATATGTCCGTCATATTAAAATATAATATAAAATCTTACATTTTATATATTTACAGATCTGATTAATGTACTTAGATGTAAAAATATAAATGCAAATAATATATAACATGAATTTTCTTTATTTTCAAATTCAATATCACAACCTGCTTTTGTTTGTATGGGTTATCTCAGCTCTTATCATTATATGTAGGTAAGTAGGTATATTTTGGGTCATCAGAGAACTGTTAAAATATTCGTCAACCCCAAATACTTGACAACCGTGCATTTTTCAAAAAATGCATAGTTTCAGTACAGCAATAAAGGAATATATTGATCACCTCTAATATGGCCTAGATACTGATCTCAGCATGATTATTACGGAAAAAATTTAGAACTGGGGCTAAGGCCCGTATCGTCAGTCGTCCCTACAATTGTAGGGCTCGTTTATGGCCTCCTTGATTGTCATACTTCTTTCTCTCCTTCAAAAATGTCTAGATTACACTTGTCCCGTGTCAGCGTCAGCGCTCTCCTATTGTGAAGATATTTTTTTTAAATTGTAGGAAATTTCAGGCTGATAAAACATGATATAACTCAAAAGCAAGCACAATTTGATGCAAATAGATGTTTGTGACATAACCTCAAGATAGAGCGCTGACACGGAGAAGTAGAAAATTATGACAATCAAGGAGGCCATAAAGGCGCCCTACAATTGTAGGGACGACTGACGATACGGGCCTAAAAGTTGAGTCAGAAGGGTTTATAGCCTTTTGCAATTATGTAACTAGGCATCTAAGTTCGACTATAACTTTTAGCTGGGTCTTGTAGGTTCAAGTCCTCACAATCTGGCAACGACCTAAAGTTCATAACTTTCTAAAATTTCAGCCGTATTCATGGCCCTAGGCGGTTGTTCTACGTTTAATCTACCTTGACAGTCGACCTGTAAGTCTATGATTTATGAAAAGCTTTGCAAACTTTGTTGAAACTGTCTACCTTCTCTACACCTAGAAAAATTGGTGTTTCACTTTGTTCAATGTTAGTGTTATTTCCACAATTCCAAATTATTACTATCGCTTTTATGCTTCAGTGCCTTTAGTGTTGTGTTTTATTCAATAAATGTGCTGGTTCTTTTAGCAAGTCCCACAGAAGTGTGATATTAAATGAATTGACATAGTTTTATATATTTAGATATTTTTTTTTAAGTTCTAACTAGATACTCGTACCTTCTCAAAAAGATCAGTCTCTACTTGTCATTATTACTGTAAGTATTACTGTAAGGTCAGTGAAACAAACAAACAGTGAAACAATGACAATTCTTTGAGCAACACGTTCACGGGAGGTTTAACTTCTCGTTACCAGTGGCGGATTTAGGGGGGGGGGGCGTGCGCATCCCCCAAAACGTCTAATACTTGCACTATGTTAGATGAACGCCTAAAAAAGACATTTATGAGATTCGTTTAGCGGTACGCCTGTGGCCTGTCCAGAAAATGCGTCCATCGATGCTCAAAGTCAAAACTGCCCGTCTCGCATCTATTCCCGCGCATATGTCTATTTATGTTACTATACTGAATATGTACACCCCTGTATTCCTGTTCTTGTTTCGTTCAAACATACATTATCAAAATAATTACAGTCTAACAGATATAGCTTTTCCCAAAGATTTCCACACTTTTACATGCGATCAACACCGATTCGAAAACTGAGAAAACAACAACTATGCCGTAAATCTAAGTTCGACAACGAAAGTATGAAGAATAACTGTAACATCTATATTGAATTCCAAAAAATAATTGACTATACCTATTGATATTTTTATCACCTGCTGGTATAATAGAAGTTGTTGATTGTGTCAGTATTTGCACCAGTTACTTGATTTGTTTAATGAGCAGTTCAGAGTCTTAATCCTTAAGCTTAGTACATACTAGTTGTCCCCGTTGCGCAACTTTTGTTTATAGGCAGTCAGGAGACGATCTCAAAAGACACGATCTATACGTATAGATGGTCTATAGACATCCTTCTTTGTCTCGTCTAGCGTCCATACGATAATGTGAATTTTTCGGTTTCATGTTCGTTTTCGCCATCACCCCGATAGCATTAAGTTTTATTAAATATTTTTAAGAAATGTTTGTTAAATATTTGTAGCGACAGATTTTTTAATATACTCGTATAATAAATATATTTCCTATGTATTCATAAAATATTAGTTATAGATATTTGTAGTATATATAATACATATATTTTTGAGATATTTTTTCCAAATATTTAGAAAATATATGAGGAAAGATTTTTAAAAAAACAATTTTATATTTTCATGAAATATCTAGTATTTTACGTAAATGTGTATGGCTTTTCAAACATTAATCTGATACATATATCGTATATAGAAAATTCTTCATTGGTTATTTTAGCAAAATATGTAGGAATGCTTTTATAAAATTGGGTTTATAAAGAAAATTCATTCTAGATATAATGGTTTAAATTGCATCTTGGAAATCCACTCCTCTGAAACAAATAACATTATGAAGTATTATTGAATACATAAGCCGCTTTCCAGTGGTCTTTTGTTTGACAGAGATATTCTCCCAAACTACTAGAAAGGGTCTTTATGGGAATATAAAATGCAGTAGAATAATATTGGTGCTGAGCACTGCTGAGTTACTCCGAGTAGCTCAACTGGGTTACTGAAAAGCAGCTCTATAATGCACCTTGAATGACCCCACATTTTCTTCCTTATTCCTATGAGAGTTCGAAAATTCGTCAATTTTCAAGATGTTATTTTAGATATCTTGATGAAAAATATCCATGGGCACAACTTGATCATTTGTGTAAACTTTCAAAGTAGGGGGAGTCCGGGAGAGTTGGACCCCTTTCAACTCCAACATGCATAAAACTGTAATTCTTCATTGAAACTTGGTCGCTCAAAGACATGTGCGTCAGATTGCCTAATAGCTATTACTGTGTGATATAGAAATCGCTATTAATCTAGTGGTTTAGCTGTAACTATTGATTTTCGAAAAATTGATATATGGGTCAAGTCTCCCCAACCCCTGGGAGAGATGACCCGATCATAAGGGAGACTTGACCACATCTTTATATATATATATATATATATATATACAGAGAAATAAAGACAAACTGTTTTCAACTCTCAAATAGTTTATTTAGAATATCAGCATTAACTACAAACGAAACTTCTACATTCATTGCTGGGTTGGAATAATCCAAGACAAAACTACCAAAAAGTTGAATTTTCTCTAGAACCTAAGGTGTCATCAACACATAAAACACAAATATTAATAATTTCAGTCGCACTCATGGCATATGAAGTTTTCATTGTCTTTATTCGTCAGTCCAACACATATTTCATGTGCATACCTTTTACAGGAAATGCAAAGGCGCATATCCAAAACCTCTTCGTTTTGGCAAACAAAACAATACCAAGGGTCACTTGGATCTTGAGCCTTGTCACCACTCGAGCTATCAGCATATTGGATAACGCACTCGTCCTCTGATTCTGTTTCACTGGATTTAACGCGTTTTTTCAACTTGGTCTTTCTTCTTGTGCTTCCATTTCCAGTCGAACTCCTGAAATTTCTCTTTCTGGATTTATGCTCGACTATGGTTGAACTATCTTCCCGTTGCGTTTCTGTTTCATCATCTTGAAAGATGTTCTTTTTAATTCCTCCTACCCTCGAGTTTTTCGCAGCCATCGTTCGGTTCTCCTCAATGTTCCTTTCGGTGAGTATCCCAACAGTTGCCGGATCAGCTACAGGATTATCTTCTTTTTCAGGAGTTTCGGTTAAGATTTTTGTTTTTCCTGGCTGACGACCATGCCGTGTTTTCTTCCTGGGCGAAGCTTTTGGGTAAGGCCTTATTGCTGCCGGAGCTACAAGTGGAACCTTATCTAAGTGAGCACCATTTTGATCACAACGCATAGAGGGATTGTCAAAGGAAGATGACGGGTTTTCTATACTATTAGAAAAAGTCAGTCGAGCCGAATGGTCTTGAAGAGTCGAATGAGCAGAAAGCATATCGTCATCGCCCAAGAAACTTCTGTCAGTGACTGCAGAGCACATGAATTCTTCCTCAGTGAAAATATCAGGATTAAAAGGATGAATGCCGCTCTTTCTAAACCCACTAAGGATGTTCGCCTGACTAAAGGCGTCTGACATCAATGTCTTTATAAGCTCCGGTATATTATATATCGTCACCGTTTTCCCTGGATTTGATAGCATCCAGTTATTCAAAACTCTGTTATAACGTGACTTAAATGAAGAATAAACAGCAACATCTAACGGTTGCAGCTTACCGCTGCAATGCGGAGGGATCGTTACTATTGTTATACCATTCTCTTTGGCAAAGTTGACTACATCTATGCTTATATGGCTTTCATGATTGTCGAATATAAGTAAAACAGGATTTTCTTTGGATGCTCGGGAATACTTTTTGAAATGTTCCATGAACTTCAAAAAGCTCTTTTTGGTCATCCAACCACTGGAGTATGCGTCGCCATCCGATCCCTCTGGTCCATTAGATACAAAATCTTCCCGATATTTGACACGAGGAAATACAAAGAATGGTGGTATGACATTCCCAATTGCATTAGCTGCACAGCAAATTGTTACAAGAGTTCCTCTGTCAGCAGAAGTTGCTTGTCCCACTTGCCTTGATTGTTTGCTTGCTAACACTTTTGGACAGTCCTGAACAGTAGTACATCCTGTCTCATCTCAATTAAAAATATTTTGTGGTTCAAACTTATATTTCTCCCGAACACGCCTCAGATTATCAAAAAAGTCACCAACATTCTTCTTATTGAAACTAGTCGCCCTTGATAAACTAGTTGCTTCAGGCGTTCGCAGACTTATTTCTTTATTTCTATGAAGAAACCCACGGAACCAGTCTTTTCCAGCTGAACAGTTTCTTGACCAACTGTCTGGAACTTTTTTGGAATTTGATGAAGCATATTCATAAGCTAATTTCATCGCTTCTATACGAGTAAGACCATAATTCATTTTACTGCAGTTTATTAAATATCCAACCAGCAGTCTCTCTTCTGGAATTGTGAAAATCTGAGAAGCCTTATGCGAACTACCCTTTTCATCAAAAACTCTCAGTTTTTCTTCATTTTTTGTGTACCGACGTAAAGTCGTCCTGTTTATCCCATACTTGATAGCTGTTTTCCTCAGAGATGCACCAGATTTCACATCTGCAATAGCATTTTGCAGCTCCTGTTTTATAAGTTTTTTACGAGATGAACTGCATTTGCTCTTGTATTGAAACGGCATATCTGAAAAAAAGAGTTGAAACGATTCTCTTTTTGTCGGACACAACAAAGGGACATTTGAACCACTGAGCAAATCTCCCTAGGCATGATGGGTCAAGTCTCCCTAACCCGACCTAGCTTACTCGATTTAAAAATTACGGAAATTAGTTTAAGCTGAGGAATAAAACACAATTGGTTCTCAAAACTAGAATGATTTAGTAATCTAACTAATATTAAGGTCATTTCATACCT